ACATTAGGCTGTTGAGGGCCTAAGCTGATCTTTCCCCCTCTGAACCCAAAAGCAGCCTCAGCTTTCCTGGGAGGCCTTGGAAGGAAGTCACCAGGAAACCTGTGCATCAGGAGTGGCCCCTATGTGGAAGTCTACCTCCCAGGAAGAGGCTCCTCTAAGACCTAAAGTCAGTTCAAAGCCTTGTCACTGGCCACAGTCCCTTTACCTGCCTGCAGGGATGCTTCTGGCAAATCTGCAGGGGGAGTTTCTGCATTAGAAAGCCCTGCCCTGTGTGATAGCTGCCAGCCCTGTAGCCTCTGCCATGAGCACCACCCACTGCCACCCACTGCCACCCACTGCAACTCTCCACAGCATGATCCCAGCACACTTCTCCAGCCCATCTCATCAAGTGGTTCTCTCCCTTTGGGTTCCAAAGGCTGTCTCCTAGTCTCTGTTAACCTTTCTTCTTGGAACCTCCCACACACCCTTCTAAATGACTCTCCACTGCCACTAATGCAGCCCCGTGGGCTCCAGCCCCGCTGTGGGTGAATGAAGGGCTGAGGGTGTGGCATCTCCCTGAATCCTCCCAATCCCCCCACAGCCATTACTACCCCCATCTTACACGTGAGCTCAGCCCTCCGCAGTCTGAGCAAATTACTGTTCAGAGAATAGAGGAAGCCAGATGACCCACGGCTGGGAAATAACTTACACATGCAGGTAGAGAAGAACCACTGATTCCAAGTTCAGGCATTTCAGGGGGAGAGAATGGAGGAAGGGAGATAGATAGATAGATAGATATGGAGATGAACTGATTCAGGTTTCCTCCAGAGACCCTGGTTCCCATGCTATGGAGCTGTGCAAGTCTAGAAATTCAGACATATCATTAAAAGAAAAAAAGGCCAGATACTTCCTGGGGCTGAGACCTGGGAGAAATTAGATGATACCCAGACACCCTTCCTACCCTCCTCTATAACAATGCCTCCAGACGGCGGTAGTGCCGTCAGCATCTGGCAGTGACACTGGGCTGATTAACCAGCAGAGCTGAGCCAGAGCTCAAACATGTTAGAAAACAACAAAAAAGCCTACTTTAGAGGAGCCAGAGTAAGGGCCTTGAACTTGGCCCATAGCTATACTAAATACTGAGGCAAACAGCAAAATCTGTATTTTAAGATAGTATTTATACAAATCCACACCAAATTTTGAAAATGCTGAGAACTGAAAAGCCACATGAAACTCTTCCAATAAAAGTACTAGAACATCACACTAAATTACTAAAAATTTCTGGGAGAAGGCATGAAATTTTACGGAAACGAAGCGCAACCCAGCAGCAGCCCCCTGAGGTGGGCGGATGCAAGAACAGCGAGGCCACCACTAGCCTGCGCTCACCTGAGCAGGCCACCAGGTGGACAGTCCTGCTCAGCTGGCACTGAGGATTGTGCACTCTCACTGTCCTACATCCACAGCCTTTAGCCGTTTGCCCAGTGGGCTCTCTGTCTGTTATCACTTGGGAGGCATGGAAGGTTCCAGATGCAGATGTGAGAACTACAAGCCACTACAAGTTGATTATCAGTTTCCTGTCTCTCCTTGCACTTGACGTGCAGGGCATTATCCAGCCCTCCACACAGCTGACAGTGTTTCTCCTCCTTCCTTCACAGCTAGGGGCAGCCTCTGCCAAGAAAATGAAACCCCAGGTGAATTAGGGAGAGGTGCTTTAAAAGGATGAGAGGGACAAGGGGATCTGGTATTTGATTTGTCCTCTAGCCCTTTTCTGTCTGACTGCCTGGAAAGCAGGATGTAATACCTGGGGCTCCAGCCACCATTTTGTGCCAAGAAGTTGCCACGAAACTAGAAACCAAGCACCAAGAATTACCAGTGACAGAGTGGACAGATACTGGGAAACCCAAACACCAAGAGTGCCTGCTAATGTCCTTTCTTGATGTAAGGAAAAACACTGCATATTGTATTTAAAGCACTGATATTTCCAGTCTCATCTCATGTAGTGGACACAGAATGAGGCGTGTCGTCAGGTGATCAGAGGACTATCTTCATGCATAAATCCATATGCATACCATGTGTTTAGCACAGAACATGATACAACATAGAAGCTTAATAACAATTGTGGCAAATGGATAAATAAATGAAGAATCACAGAATGTGGTTGACTTGCTAGAGAAGACTCCTTTACCTTAGATCAAAAAATATGTTAGGTGATTAAACTGATAGAAGTTGTAAGGGAAAAACTATGGCTTCATTTTAGAATAGATGACTGCATGTTGTTACCACTGAAAGAACAATTAAACCTTTAGACAGAAATCTTCGGAGAAAGCCTCACTCAGAGGATGAAGTGCTAGAATTTCTGCACAGTAATTCATGTTATGTTTAGTGCAATGGCATCACTATGTAAGGAAAAACACGCATCACTTTCTGAAGAAAAGACAATAATTCTTTCATGGTGCGGCCAGAGGAGGCAATCCGTTTGCACCCCACACATGGGAGCTGCTTGGCTGGACCCCGGAGGCTCACAAGAGCTAGCTTCCTGACAGCTTTGTTCTGAATATCGATGCAGCCAAAGTCAATTTCTCATGCAATGCAAAACAGCTCTCTTTGTTCTGTAAATTTCTCATTTTCTCCATGCTTTTTAAGCAGAAAAATGACAAGTAGGAACCTGAAGAACAAAAATAACTGGCCTCTAATTGGGAATCTCAGCCACTAAGTACAAAATAGAACAAAATGCTTTATAAACCAAAAAAGGAACAAGGATATAAAAAAATCGTATAGATGCACAAGTCAAAAATGATGCTTACAATATCTAGTACCACCTTGTTGGAGAAATCAGGGCAGAGTGACCTGGGAAAAGAAAGAGGATGCTCCATGGTTGCTGGAGTGAGACACTGCCCAGGTGCGTCCCCAGTTTGGGACGGCTGTGCAAGTGGGGACAGGGATGGAGTCAGGGGCTTGTCTGAAGAGTCACAGGGTACGGGTGAATGGCTGTTTTGGGGGCTGATGATCCTACTTGCTTCTGGGGAGAAAAATTGGGTCTGGGGTTCAGGAGGAAGGTTTCCAGTGCATTTTAAACAAAGTGAATACATTATTAACAATAATTTAAATTACAATTATTTTCAAAAATACTTTATACCACTTGTAGTGGATTGGATAGCATCAACCCCTCTGCCACCCCCCTCCAAACTTATGTCTCAGAATGTGATCTTGTTTGGAAGTAGGGTCTTTGCAGATGTCACCAAGGACCCTGAGATGAGATCATCCTGGGTTAAGTAGAACACATTTCTGTTGCTTTAAGCTACAAGTCTGATAATTTGTTGCAGCAGCCACAGGAAAACAATAAACCACTTTTTTTTTCTTTCCTAAATGATCTTGGTCTCTAGTAAAGAAGTATACTTGAAATACAATTAATAAAATCAGTTAACTTATCCCTAATTTTCCATCTTAAATTTGTACCCAGTTAGTAAATATTTTAGCTTTCTCAGGCTATGTGGTCATTGTTGCAACTACTCACACCTGGCTGCTGTAGAGGCACAGACAATACGCTAATGAATAAGAAGGCTGTTTTTCAATAACTTTGTTTACAAAAATGGGTGGCAGACGGGATCTGGCCTATGGAATGTAATTTGCTGCCTCCTGACCTAAACACACTTTTTTGTTATGCTGGGATTGTGGAGCTGTAATTGCTGGTCCATCGGGTATGGGGAAGATGAACTGTAGGAGGGTTTGGCCGGCACACCTGGTCAGACCTTAGATCAAACAGAGATTAGTAATCTCAGGGGAAAGCAAAGATTCAGAACTCCAGGATGCTAGCAGTAAGCACAGGTTCGTGTGGACACAGGCCTTGTTGCTTCACTATAAGCAGGACTCCCTGCCGCTCAGTATCTCAACATTCACTCACGTGGACATATGTCACCAGCACCATGCGCCCTGCAGAGCCAGGTGCTCACGAGGCAAGTGTATCTCACACTCACCTGTCAAGGGGAGAATAATTGGAAGGTGTGTGGTGTACATGTGGATACATGTGTGTGCATACATACATGAAATAGCTAGAGCCCTAGACAAATCCAGCATCACTTTACGATCCACACTCCAGTGCCGGAGGTGTCTGGTCCACTGGATAGGATGTCAGCCACATCTTCAGAAAGTCATGGGCTTGGCTTTGCAGGACGAGCCAGTTCTAAATAGGGAGAGCAGATAACGGGCTGCCTGCTTACAAGGAGGCATGATCATTCGAGTCTACATTCACTTGCTGAGTGCCTAGGGTATGCCAGGCTCTGTGGCAGACTCTAAGGGCAAGTGTTACTGAAAAATAGGTTCTTGGAACCCTACAGGGAGGGGTGAGTAGTATCAGACCCCTTTGCAAACTTGAGGATTCAGTAGAAGCTTCTAGTCCAAGGCCCAACACCAAGGAAAGAGCAGAGCCAAGACTGGGACCTGGGCCTGTGGCCCCCTGCCTTCCCCTCAGTTGCTCTTCAGTCAGTTAGCACTCACCTGCTGTGCTGCTGTAACCACGCTGAGCTCTCCTGTCTTCACGCCACAGGAGGGGCCTCTTGCTCACACAGTGGGTACCTAGTGCCCACATTCACGCACACATTCCACTCATGTACACATGCGTACTCATGTCTCAGACCAAGGGTGAAAAACGTATTTGATACCCCAAATACCTTCGCATAAAAACAATTAAATTGCCCTCCACTGAAGGACTGCTATCAAGGTCTTCCATCCTCATCCTGGAGACAGGAATGTTGAAAGGAATTTGAACCCCGGGGAAAGCAGCAGTATGGCTGAATGCAGACATGGGGCCAAGAGCCACTCCACAGCCCGTCTGAGATCGAATCTAGTTCTGTCTAAAGAACTTGCATTCTGATATTGGGGGGTGGGGGGAGTAAACCTGTTTCCCTCCTCTCTGTCTTCTGTCCTCCTGCCAGCTTTCCAGCTGGGGCTCTGAAGGGACTAGATCTAGATAAAGAGTGAGATGCCTGGAAAGCGGAGTCAACAAAACCGGCAGGTCAACACTCTTAGAAACCAGAATATTTACATTTTATTTTTCCTCGGTAAGTTAACACCATCTCTCAAGGAAATGGTACAATCTTGCATGTTATTTTCACGGCCAAAGGAGCTACATCTGTCTTTGCTTGTGCCTTGGGTTCGTTTTGCAGTAGATGAACCACCGCCCACGCCTCTTCACCCGGTAACAGTCCCGGCAACGCTTCCTGAGGACGCCCTTGGTCTTGAACCCCAGAGCAGGCTGCAGGAAAGGTAAGGGGTGGCAGGAGAGGGGTGAGGCCACCACTTCGCTGGGCTTCGCCCCTGCTGGGACTGAAATACGCAGGGGACCCAGCAGGAGTGTGGAGAGCACACGGGACGTCGTCGTGCAATGACTCAGACGTAGGAGAGGGTTCACAGCAGAAATCACCATTTTCTTTATAAAAACAGTTGCCATGTTGTGGCTAAATCTATGCAAAAAGAAAAGAAAAGGTGGTTACAGCGTCTTCCATGCCTCTTACTATTACAAGTTTGTTTTTCTACTTCACGGTCGCGTAGGCATAGGAGCTGAGGGGTAAGGGGTGCTACCACTCCCCAGTGCAGCACAAACCCTGACAGCTCTGCAGGAGACAGGGGCACCGGGTGCAGCACTTGGCATACCGCCCTTTGCGGGGAGCCCAGGCGAGGCTGACGGGACCTTAAGCGTAGGCCACGCCCCACACTTTGAAATAATTAAGCCAGGTCGGGGTTAGTGACTTGCCCTGCCCTGTTGAGACACTGCAGCAATGAAGCCCGACCCCAACCCAGGGGCTCCGGGGCCGGGTCACTAGGGGCTAAACAAGGCCCGTGTCCTGGCCTCACTAGTTTCAGCGAGGCGGGCGCCCACGTGTAGGATGGGTCCACATACAAGCGGGGTAACCGCTTCTCCGTGAACTCCGACCCCGCTCAGGTTTAGTTAGGGGCAGAGCTGGCCTGGCTTCCTGGGCATGAAGCACCGGGTTCCCAGGCCGGCGCCCCACCAGCCGACCGCACGGAACTGGCGGGGGCCGCTTCTCGGAGGCGCACTGGCTGGCGTAGCGGGACTCGGCCTCAACACTAGCGCGTGTCGCTGGGGGTCCGCACACCGCCCGCGAGGTTCGGACGTCCAGGGGATAGATCCGGCCCCACACCGCCCGCACGCCCTCAGACCGCAGCCAACCAGGGGAGACTGAGGCCACGGGGCCGAGGTCTCCGGGCCGAGCCAGTCCTCAGCCTCTCGACCTGGAAGCCGGCTGCAGGGACCCGAACCCCAGCATCCCGCCGCTTCCCTAGTTCCCAGCCGCTCTGGACCCGCAGGGACCCCTGACCTGCGAGGAAAGGGCCTTCGCCCTACCAGCAGCGTCCCTCACGCCGCGCCAGCGTCGCGGCCCGCGCCTGCGCAACAGCGCTAGGGTCACGTGGCAGCACCAGCTGCGCCGGCCGCAAAGATCGAGCTCCAGCTTCTCTCTTCCCTACTTTCCAGGCCCCGTCCCTAGAGCACCTAGCAGGATGCCCCCTGCAACCTGTCGCCTATAGTTGTTGTTGGTGGTGGGGATGTAGAAATGGGAACTAATATATATATATATATATATAAAATGAAACAGTTACAACCAAGCAGACTTCAAAAACCGACAATACTAATGTCAAAACAAAAATCTAGGAAAACCGTATGTAGGTACTACGTGAACACCCTAGGAAAACTGGAGGGTCCAAGGCAAACGGACAATGGTTCTAACTGGTTGTAATTAAATATCTTCTCCCCCTCCTACATTTTTTTATGAAACATTTCAAAGAGATAAAAGTTGAGACTTTTATGGTAAACACCATGTGCACCCAGGTTCCACGAACGATGAACCTGCCTTTCAGGGGGCGTGTCTGCGAACCCACCCGTCTACTTTCTGGGCACTAGAAGGCGACCTGCAGACGTGGTGCACCTGCCCAGGTGATCTTTGGTTCTGCCCGAGCACCTGACCGTAAGCACCCTTCCTTTCAGAGAGGTTTTTAGGGGATCACGCTTCTCGTCACCTTGCTGGGCTCTCCTCCACGTACTTGAATGGAGTCCCGCCTGTGGGTGTACTCAATTCCCGGGGCGTGGCGGTTGCGCGACTCAGCCCTGAGCTAAGTCTGCCCCCCTCCCTTCTGTTTTCGCCCATACCACTGGGTCTATGCACAGGAAGTTTAGAGGCAGGAGAAGCACAAAAGGGAAGCGCCGGGACGCCGGCCGGGTCCTGCCCAGGTGCCCTCAGGAGTAGTGGACCTGTCCGGTGCTGATCACGTTGGGAACGATGGTGGGAGGGGCGACAACGGTAGTGCTTTACCGGTAGCTTCATTGGGACTGTGCTTCGGAAATCCCCCAACAGGCCGTTCACCACCACCGCACCCCCCTGCCCCCGGGCAACAAAGAAATGTGCACGGCGCAACAGGAATGCACTTCCAATTTCTTCTCTAGGCAGGGATACTTCACTAGTAAAAACATATAATGTGTATCCCCTTGATTATCGATTGCCATTGAATGCAAACAATGCATCTCTACTTTCTACCCACCTCTGCCCTTCCCCTGGTACGACTAACAGCTACGGTTGTGCTCAAAGTCTCCCTCCTTTCCCCGGCTGAAGCCTGGCCCGCAGCAGCACACGCCGGGACGCTCTCGATCCAACCGCCGCGCGCGTGCGCACCTCCCCTAGGAGCGATACGTCTCGGCCGCCTGGGCCCTGCGAGGCAGTGCGCAAGCGTCAGCGTTGGCGCGTCGACGCGCCGGGTCAAGGGCCAACCCACAAGATGGCGGCAGCATTGACCTTCTGCCGGCATCTGGGCCGGGGCGGCGCGGCGGCTTTTAGCTTCTCTCGGGGCGCTAGATGTTTCGGGGTGCACATCTCGCCGACTGGGGAGAAGGTCACGCACACCGGCCAGGTAACCGGTGCGGCGCGGAGGACGCTTAAGTGGGCGGAGCCCAGGTCAGGCTCCCGGTTTTTTCGCTGTCCCCTGTGCCCCGGGTCCTCCCGGTGTCCTCCGATTCCTGGTTCGTGGGCAGGGATCGCGGAGAACCGGCGACTGAGTACAGTGCAGGTCCTTCGTACGACACAAGCACGGTCGAGCTGTGCTGTCGCACGCAACAACCTGTGTGGATTTAAACGGCTGCCGCGGTGCTGGTCTTAGCGGCGTGTTTGCAGATTCTGTGGTCTGAGAGTGTCCCCGAACTCTAAAATGGGGCTGTTACTCAGAAAGTAGCTGTGGGGAGGCTTCCCATTGTACTCAAAACGACCGATCCTTTGGCTCGAATCTCGTAATGTTTGTGTGATATTAAATAGTACACTTAAATAATTTGAGAGTCTGCTGTAGTCCAAAACACAAAGGCGATGTTAGGCTATAATTGTAAACCAAAGATGAGAGAGTAAGTATCTATATTAACGTGTCACCCAGAAGATTTAGAAGGACAGAGCCATGGGCCGTTTGTGGAGAAGGCGAGGGGTGCACCTCCTTTGCCTGAATTTGCCTCCTTTGCACTCCCACTTCACCTTGCAGCCTTCCAGTTCAGCTTATTGCCCATTGTCATCTTAGGGGTCTTGCTGAAAAATGCCCCTGGTTGCACAGCTATACTTGGCCTCTCGTGTGTTTGATCCTGATTAACGTAAACATTAAGAAAAACACTTTTCTGTAATGTTTATGATTGATATGAAGTGACCTCTTTCAGAACGAAGCTGTAAAAATCACATATGGTCTTTTTGTTTTCAGGCTTATGATGATAAAGACTACAGGAAAATTCGATTTGTAGGTCGTCAGAAAGAGGTAAGTATGAGAGAGATAAGCTCTCATAAAACCTTTATATAACCAACAAGGAATAAAAAATAATATGTAAGATTTAAACAATTTTTCCCAATTTGTGAGCACTCTAGAAGATTTGGAGCTCTGCATTTTTTACCCAAAAATGTTCGATGTGACTATTTTGGTTTTGGTTTCTGCCCCTGCAATATCACAGTATATAACAACATCTTGTAAATGTATTTCTGGTTTACATATAAATGAGAGTGGTCTTTTTCTTTATGTCTGTGCCTTATACTCCTGAGACCCTCAGAATAGAGTAAATTTTGTTCTCCGTAGTCAGTTTGAGTCACTCCTTCCCCTCAGTCAGCCTGTTGATTCTTCTTGGTAAGCTTCAGCTTTCCCTAAATAGTGTGTCCCCTTCCCTTTGATCTTGGTTACATTGTCCATTCCCAAAGTCTGGTTTTCTGATTCCATTCCTGCTTTGTGGGTGTCATGAGGGCAGGAGCTGTGTGGTGGAGATGGAGTTCAAAGCACTGAATGGAGCAGTTCATTGCAAATCGGTCTTGGGGTTGGTCCTGCAGCCTTGTCCCCAACTTCCTATCTCACCTCTTCCATTGCTTTAGCAAGCATCTGTGCTTGTCATAGATTCCTCTTTGCTGGAAATTCTGCTGTGGCTCCAGTTTCTGATTGCCATAGCAGAGGACAACTGGTAGTGACTTAAAAACAAAGCTATTGAAGGCAGTCAAGAGCTGAGGGTGTTGCATCTCCATCAGCCTTTCTCTCCGTCAGCTCTCCTGGGCTGGCTCTCCTTAACGGCTGTCCCCGCTCAGGGTCTCTGGCGCCTTTCCTCTTTGGGATTGTGAGTGTCCAGGCACATCCTCAAGTTGTGATGGTACACAGCACATCTGTAAACCTTGAGCTGGCATTCTGCCCTGGCTGTTATTCTTATGACAAAAATTTGGCATTGAGTGGCTTTTTAAAATTATTTTCATTTCCAAGAGATATTACTGTTTTAGAAAACTTGAGACACACTGGAAAATTACACAGTAAGCACAGTTTCCATATGTCTCTCACACTGTTCCCCTATTATTTAATATCTGGCATTAGTGTGCTACATTTTTTACAAGTGATTGATTTAGACATTGTATGAGTATGAATATATTAGTTTCAACTCAAGTCCATAGTTTTCATTAGGGTTTACTCTTTGCCGTACTTTCTGCTGTACAGTCTTGACAAAGGTATAGTGTCTTGTATCCACCATTGCAGTGTCATACAGAGTAGTTTTATTGCCCAGAAGACCCTCTGTCTTCTACCTGTTCATCCCTGCTTTTTAGCATTTTCTCCAAACTTACTTAGTTTAAAAGTTAATTTGGATGAAAGTTTCAGTTTTTACTGTGATTTAAGAATTATATATGTGTGTATACACATGTATATGTAGCTAAATATAATTATTGATATTAGTGCTAAAAACACCTAATATTTTAAATCATGAACTGGGGCTTTTAGTTTATTTTAAACTTGTAAATTTCCATTAATTACATTAGAAAATTAAAATTAATTAAATTTATATCAAAATTTTACACAACATTGATTATTGAACTGGGTTATTATTTTCTTTTTTACTATTTTTAATATTATTTTGTAGAATTTATATTTCATCTTTAATGGATTTAAATTGTTCCTCTCCATAGGAACAGTCACTCCCAAAAACATAAGTTTAAAAACAACGCAGCTAACTGACTAATGAATAATTTAAACCTAAATATATTTAGGCACAGATGAATTGATCAAGAAGTAAATGTTAAGAGAGGTTCATATATATGTATTTTTTTATGTTAGTGACCTGGAAAACTAATTTTTTTAAATTTTATTTTAATCATTGTTCAAGTACAGTTTTCTCCCTTTTACTCCCATTCCACCCCACCCACCCAACCCTCCCCACCTCTCTCCCATTACCACCCTCCCCCTAGTTTTTGTCCATGTGTTCTTTAAATTTGTTCCTATAAACCCTTCCCATTCTCCCCTGAAAATTCCCTCTTCTCTCCCCTCTGGTCACTGTCAGCCTGTCCTCTATTTCAGTGTCTTTGACTATATTTTGTTTGTTTCTTTGTTTTGCTGTTTAGGTTCCTGTTAAAGGTGAGATCATATGGTATTTGTCTTTCAATGCCTGGCTTATTTCACTTAGCATAATGCTTTCCAGCTCCATCCAGGCTGTTGCAAAGGGTAGGAGCTCCTTTCTTCCTGCTGCATAGAATTCCATTGTGTAAATGTACTATAGTTTTTTGATCCATTCATTTACTGATGGGCATCTAGGTTGCTTCCAGCACCTAGCTATTGTAAATTGTGCTGCTATGAACATCGGGGTGCAAGGGTTCTTTTGTATTGGTGTTTTAGTGTTCTTAGGATATAGTCCCAGCAGTGGAATTGCTGGGTCAAAAGGCAGATCCATTTTTAGTTTTCTGAGAAAGTTCCATACTGTTCTCCATGGTGGTTATACCAGTCTGCAGTCCCACCAACAGTGCACTAGGGTCCCCTTTTCTCCACAACCTCTCCAACACTTGTTGTTTGTTGCTTTGTTTATGATAGCCCTTCTGACCGGTGTGAAATGGTATCTCACTGTGGTTTTAAATTGCATCTCTCTGATAGCTAGCGATATTGAACATCGTTTCATGTGTCTTTGGATCCTCTGTATGTCCTCGGAGAAGTGTCTGTTCAAGTCCTTTGCCCATTTTTTAATTGGGTTGTTGTCTTAGAGTAGAATCATGTAAGTTATTTATATATTTTGGAGATTAAACCCTTGTCTGAGATATCATTGGCAAATATGTTTTCCCATACAGTTGGTTCTCTTTTTATTTTGATACTGTTTTCTTCAGCTGTGCAGAAGCTTTTTATTTTGATGAAGTCCCATTTGTTTATTCTTTCCTTTATGTCCTTTGCTCTAGGGGACATGTCAGTAAAATAGTTCCTGCGTGAAATATCTGATTTTCCTACTTACGTTCTCCTCTAGGACTTTAATGGTGTCACAATTTATATTTAAGTCTTTTATCCACCTTGAATTTATTTTTGTATAAGGTGGAAGTTGGTGCTCTAGTTTCATTTTTTTGTATGTAGCTTTCCAGTTCTCCCAACACCATTTATTGAAGAGGCTATTTTTACTTCATTTTATGTTGCTGCCCCCTTTGTCAAATATTTATTGACCATAGGGACTTGGGTTTATTTCTGGGCTCTCTGTTCTGTTCCATTGGTCCATGTGCCTGTTTTTATCCCAGTACCAGGCTGTTTTGATTACAGTGGCCTTGTAGTATAGTTTAGTGTCAGGTATTGTGATCCCTCCTACTTTGCTTTTCTTTCTCAAAATTGCAGCAGCTATTCGGGGTCATTTATGGTTCCATATAAATTTTTGAAGTGTGTGTTCTATGTCTGTGAAGTATGTCATTGGTACTTTAATACATATTGCATTGAATGTGTAAATTGCTTTGGGTAGTATGGACATTCTGATGATGTTAATTCTTCCAATCCATGAACATGGTATATGTTTCCATTTGTTTGTGTTTTCCTTGATTTCTTTCCTCAGTGTTATGTAGTTTTCTGAATATAGGTCTTTTACCTCTTTGGTTAGGTTTATTCCTAGGTATTTTATTTTTCTTTTTGCTATTTCAAATGGGATTTTTTTTCTTGATTTCTGCTTCTGCTGTTTCATTGTTGGTGTACAGAAATGCCTTTGATTTCTGGATATTGACTTTGTATCCCGCTGTTTTGCCAAATTCATTTATTAGGTCAGTCAGCTTTCTGCCCAAGTCTATAGGATTTTCTATGTACACTATCATGTCATCTGCAAACAGTGACAGTTTTATTTCCTCCTTTCTGATTTGGATGCCTTTTATTTCTTTTTCTTGTCTGATCGCTGTGGCTAAAACTTCCAGTACTATATTGAATA